CTTATGTGAAAATTAGTGGTACAACCCAGTTGTCCAAATCAAGCTGTTGTAAAGATTCAAGGGTTTCAAACGCTAAGTAACCACTATACAAATCAGTTGAAGATAACTTTTGATAGGTTACAATGGGAATTTAGTTTGAATGTTCGACAACCGATAATTAAAACAAATATTTGTTGCCTGGAGAACGGAAGCTCCTGTGATTGATTTTATATGGAACCGGAGATACTCATCTTAAAGCAATTCCAAATTAATGCGAAATAGTTGTTTCCAGTCATTTTATACGTGAAAGAAATTAAAACGAAGCTTAGCTACACTACGTACTTATATCAGAGAATTTACTTTAGTTGTCTAAATGTTGAAATCTACAAATCAGTATCCGCTGATCAGGTAATTATTCAAATAAGTAAACAGTAGATAAGCAGAAACACCTTAGAAACGTTTTTTACACTAATGATTACATAATTAAATGAATGATATTCCCATAAAATAATCAAAACTTCATATTATATCAAAATTGATAACTTTGAAGTATACATAGATTAACAATGAAGTGTTTCATAATAAGAAGGGAAAAAATACAAAATAACTGGATAAATGAAAATGTCTATTTAAAATAAAATAAAACAGTTAATTATAAATCTTCCAAAAACAGTATTTGTCATAAATTTGGACACACCCATGTATGAGTCACTTTCACTTGTACTGGGTAATTATTTTAACCAGATGGATATAAGTATAGTTTTATGAGTAAAAATAACACAATATTATAATTCAGCATTGTATTGTTACTACTCATTGTATGTTTAATGGAGTCATCAAGGTTCATAGTATATTTTTCAATGTTAAAACAGAAGCAAATTGTAGAAAGAAACTCATTTACATGAGTCCAGATTATTTGCTATCGTGTAAATACTTTTCAAACTAGCTTCAAATTTATGTGTCAATATAGGGTTGTGGAGATTGTTGAGTTTAGATTGATATCATGAATGGATCAATATTAAACCACCATTAAAAACCTGGAAACACTGGACGGCCGTTTCGTCTTAGTATGGGACTCCTCAGCAGCGCGCACCCGCGATCCCGCATGTGGGGCTCGAACCCAGGGCCTTTGGTCCTGCGGACAAACGCTCAACTTCTGGACCACTGAGTCGGTATTCAACGGTGTTAGTTTCTAACTTCAACTGATACTCGATATTGCGCGACCGTCCACCATTGTCTTCAGTGAGTAACTGCCTCACAACAGACATGGTTGAACTCCACTGGTCACCGTTTCCTATTAGAACAATGTTTGTACATGACGGCATATTAGACATATATACTTTAATTCAAGACTTTTTAATCGCTTTCTAAAAGCGAATTTCCTAAAATTACTCATCAAACAAATGATAGTTTACAATAACAGTTTAAATCTTACTCCAAATCTCGTTATCTGACGCTTGAAGTAGTTTTCTAGTATAGTTTCATCTTATTAATAATTCGATTTTACACTGATTCAACTCTTAGTATTAACATTTGTTATACCATTCATTATTAAAGCAAATAATATAGCAATCGTTTCGTTTCATTTAAATCGACTGAGTAGTATGTCTTATAAATACTTTATGTAAGGCTAATGAAATTGCGTCAAAATGGTTAAATTAATATTCTAACTAGTTTGATAGTATAGCTACTAGTTATTATTTCTTTTCTTATCCAACTGCAGTACAATCTATTGAATGAGTAATTTATAAGAAGGTTGGGTAAAACAATCACGAAATGTTGTAAACTCTAATTCCTATTAATTCAGATATCATAAATATATCATTATTTTCTTATTAATATTCTACCAAATACTCAGTTTATTTGAAATCATCAAGTCAAACCTTGGTAGCGATTCACTTGGTATTGTTTATTTGAATCTTTCCATTAATGTTTAGGACTGCAATTGATCAGTCTCTTATTGGCATATGTACATTATGTGCTTATTGCCTTGATATTACCTTAATTCATAAGCATTATAAGCAAAAATGGATAATGGATCGAGGCAATATGCACAGTATACACATATGTCAATAATAGACTGACCAATTGCAGTCCTAAACATCAATGGGAAGATTCAAATAAACAATACCAAGTGGATTCAAACTTTATCCAATTGCACAAGCAAATGGCTATCAGGACTCATTAGCTATGTGGATAACGCGATAGCATTTGAAGCTGATTAGTACTAGGTTCAAGTCCTAGAGTGAATATCAACTCTGAAATGCAGTTATATTTATCTAGCGAGTCCCAAATAGGACGAAACACGCGTCCAGGATTCCACTGCTAGCCAATACCAATTTTTTTTACTAAAGGGATTATGAATGTTTGCTATTTAATGAATTTGAATTAGAAAATGCTGTTAAATTCCTTATTGAGTATCCTTAGGATTTTATTATTATTATTATTATTATTATTATTATTATTATTATTATAACTATCAATTACAAACAGTTGCCCAATTACGGAAAAAAAGACCTGTTAAATATTCAAAATGAGTAATCCATTCGAATGACTGCTGTGAAATAAAAATTTATATGAACCAATCATGAATTTGTTCAATTCGTATCAAATCCAATTTGAATTAATTCTCGTTTATTTTTTAATGCATAATTATAAATCATTATTATTCATGACTAAGCATCTTAGATTCATTTCATTTGTAATAAAGACGAAAGAAATCTATTTGATGATAAACAGAATGATTCGATTTAAAAGTAAATGTGGGTATGTAAGTGAATATCGTCCATATTTCAAGTAAAAACATATGGATATGACAAAAAAGCAATAAAATAAGAAATCTAGTTGTCGATTTATCCGTTTATCAGTTTGCCATGTCTAACACGCTTTATTATTATTATTATTATTACTATCACCACCATTAGATTAGCTGATGTGGTGGCGGCAGTGGCCCAAATGTAAGAACACACACACCAATATAAATAGACATTAATATCTGGAAATGAGTCATGAAAAATCAACATGCTATTTTTTAATCAGTTGCATTATAGACAAACTCATTGTTAGTGAATACACATACAAACAAAAACAGTTTCATGATTCATAGTTAGCAAATAATATTGTTGTTTACATTAAAAATTTAATTTATTATAAGAATTAAAGTTAGAATGTTTTTCAAAAACAGGTTTTAGGGAAAAAATCAGTTAAGGATAATGTAGACCGAAATGGATAGATGCTATGATTACTGATTCAAATTATAGTGATAAACCAAGAGAGTTAGAGAGAGAGGGGTTAATCATAGGAGAAATGAACTGAATATTAGGTTTCATGGTGGGTTTTTGGGTAGGTAAACGATTGCATGATAATAATCCCACATTATATAACCCTATCAAAATCTGTCCATATCATTTCATCTAACCTGAGAAAGTATTTATAGATAGTTGAATACTTATGGACAATAATTTCTTCTAAAATAATTTTTGTCTTCAGAAACTCACGTCAACTTAAAAAAGCAATAAGAGCCAGGCAGTTCTGGACATTTGGTACAGTCAAGTTTGAGATTTATCAACAGTACACATTCGGTACTTCAGGAACTTGAGATATGACTATGAATACATGATGTAGTTAAATCAGTAGAATCGGGAATTCGATTGTTTGAATGCTAAGACTTTAGTCAATCTATGATGACAGAACAATGTTTCGCTTAGATAATATCAATTTGTGACGAAAAGCACTTTCAAAAAACATTATTAGTTCCACAAAAAGTTGAAATTACATCATAGAAATTTTTAATGTTATTGCACATCATAAAAATAATGTCAAAAATCGGAATCAATATTAATTTTACATAGATGGTGAAAAATCAAAATGAGAATTAATAACTTATTTAAGACATGATTTCATTCAATAAACTTTATGAGGAGTTATCGAATTTTATCTTGTAAGCGATGGAGTTTATGTATCCTACTAACTACTCAAGTAGGTGAAAAGTATATATATATATATATATATATATATATATATATATATATATATATATATATATATACGGTCATGAAATATCGTGGACTGATTGAAGTTAAACTTATAAACCACCGGGTCTCGGTTCACAAAGTCTAGGGAATAAGTCTTTCAGCTTGAGACTCGAGGCCCTGGGTTCATATCCTGGTTGTGGGGTCACCGATGCTCACTTTTGAGGAGTTCCATACTAGAAATAAATATTTGTTCAGTTCTTGCAGGTTTTCTTTCGTTGTCTAATTTCGATTGGTTTGTGATTTCAATAAAACTTAACCTCTACAACCCTCTACTGAGAAATATAATTAGGCTTAATTTAATGCGATTTAATAACCAGGTACAAATTGATGTACTTGTTTCGGAGATATTTTATTAACTCATTAGTTAGTTATAGATTTATGCACTTATTTTCAAACCATATTTTGAATGTAAGAGCTGGTGATACTATCAGATTGCTTAAACAGAGGTAGATGGTGACTTAGTTGCTGAAAGTTGAAAACCTTAATCACAAAGCCAATTTTCCAGAGCTACAACAAAGAAGCTGTTCAGTACTTTCTAGTTTGCAATGATTTTCTTGTTGGTGACGAAACGTAATTTAGAGCTAAATAATAATTCCATCTCCTTTATTTTAATAAATTTTATATAACCATAGACTATCATTAATCTTTACATAACCAGTATCATGAAGCAAGAGTATTTTAATTTATTGACTTTATGATAATAACTAAAAGTCTTGTAATCAAAACCATAAAGCCAGGAATGAATATGCCATTTCGAAAATTTAATCTAAGATGAAAGAATCGATTATTACAGTTTATTTTATAGTATAAACTTGTGATAATTACACGTATAAAATGAAATTCAACGTTCACAGGAATTAGTAAGTGAGGTTATAGACAAGGGAGTTTAAATTTTTGTTTTGTACACATTTAAATTTCTCAAAGACATTTGAAATTCGTTTATTTTCTTCTTTAAAAAAAAGTGGACAATAATGATGAATAACTTACCAAATAATAGTTTCTCAAATTTTGAATGATAATTTTCCAATTCATTAATCTATCTTTTACGCATGTTACAGTTTTACATAGACGATCATCTGGATCGATCCGTTCATCACTAAAGAAATAGATTTAATAGTGAAAAAAGTAACTGATTGAGAACTAAATAGACTCAAATAAACAATGACAAGAAAAGACAAACAACCAAACGACGCAATATCAAAGTCAGTTAGGGTTTATATTTTCCAGTTATTTATTAGTCTCTATTAACAATGAGGAAATGCATATTTCTACAAGTAAAGTCAATACTCATTGCACAACTTAGTGGATACTTGAACTCAGTAGTTCAGTGCGTAACATATTGGAGTTTAAGGAGAAAGGTACTGAGTTCGAACTTTATTGTGAACATCAAAATAGATGCAGGTAAATCTTGCTGATGAATCCCAAACAGAACAAAACGCGTATTATGGGTCCTACTCCTGAACACTATCCGACTTTAATGAGAAGCGGCAGACAATTTTTTTCTAGTCCGAGACTCATCTCGGTAGCACTTGCTTGCTATGTTTCCATTGATTGAACCTAGAACGTTCAAGTTTGAAGGTGGACAGCATGAAAATAACTTTATCATTGTCAAAAGTATGTATATTACCATATTTTTAATCAATACCATCCATAATACGTAACCCTGTAACCAAAACCATACATTTCTTAACTCTCAACATAAAACATTGACAGAAAAGGGACATTATTTGTGTCTTAGCATAACGTTAACTGGTTATAAGTTTATATTTATTGCGGCTTTAGAAAATTTTATTTAACGGTTAAGAGTATTACTATATAAGTGCTAAGATTTGCTGTAAAGAAATAATAGATAGATGAGAGCTGAGGCTATCTACATGTAACTTTTTTTTGTTAATTTTGTAGGTAAATGACCAAAATGTGTCGGATGTTACAAACTCACTTTCAGATGAACTCAGCCAGAACAAGCTACATCGATTCTTATAATAACTGTGGAAAATTTCACTTGGTTGTTACCCATTGACAATATTCATTAAAAATGAAGAATTTATGAGGAAAACAATAATATTTTAGACATTTCACATAATTACTAAATCTAAGTCTCATACAAGCTTTTCTGTTCGTAATACAGAGAAACAATTAAATTTACGTTCATCTATATTGCTACAAAACACTCGTCTTCTCAACTTCCATATTCAAGCAAAGAATTTCCCAGAAGTACCCATACATAAAATCTACATAGAAAGAATTGAGCCTTAGATACACCTAACACTTTCATTTTTATTGTATAATAAAATTTTTTATCATAAATTCAAGAGTTCTTTACAGCATACAAAGATAATTTTTGTTGTTCGTTTTTAAATTTTAAATTTTATGCAAAATGACCCAAAGTCATCTCCACAATTCTGATTGGCTCGTCCTTATTCCATACTTTTACCGGATCTACAAATTATTGCTTAAAAGACGAGCACTTTAATCATTAAGCACATATTAATTCATTGAGAAATGAGGACTAATGGAATTTGAAAGCATGGAAAATGTAGTAAACTACGAGAAGAAGGATATTGAAAATGAAAACATATAATTTAACAGTTCGATTCTGATCTGAAATCCTACAAATTATATATAGATACGTTATGTTTCAGTAAAGAACCATGAAGACTATCATACAGTAGGAAATTACATACTCATCCATTTCAGTCAAGGTAAATTATATCACCATTTTCACAGATCGTATTGAAATTCTGAAAATAATCTTAGTGATTTTATTCTTTCATTGATATATAATTTGGCGATAAAGCTTTAGTTGTTATTAATAAGTAGCACATTTACGTTGTAAACTCAAAAGACAGGATCGATTTGAATTAGTAAAGTTATTGTAAACAGATAGGATAATTGAATTTCCTTCTAAATTTGGACAGATTTTGTGATTACATGATGATTTCTTAAGTACACAAATCCGCTCTTGGATTGTAGCCAGTTTTTTCAAAACTGCAATATTGATCTCATTTAATGAGTCTAAAAAATTGAGTCACGAGAATTTCCATTGGACTTTGTGTACAATCAGAATGTGGTGATCAGTAAGCTATATACACAGGGGCTCAGTAACAAATGAAGTACATGTACTTCATGATATTTACCATTTGATAGTAAACGTACTACTCATGAGTAGATGAAACAGAATTCATAAAAACATGTACACAATTACTATTTGTAATTTTATTTACTCCTCTATCGATGAGTGTGAAAACGGGACGCCAGAGATAATGCTTAAATAAACCGTTACCTCTTGGAAGTAAGTACACTCTACATTGAATTACTGAGGTGACAATTTTTAATCTATGAAAATCAGTTAGTATGACTTGCTAGTCGAATAAATTCTTATCTGTTTATTAATCATAATAATATTGGATGATGGTTAGCAGTGGGTTACCATTACTTCAGATTCACTAAGAAAAGCTCATTGGAAAGGAGCAGTTGGTCTTTCTGTTCTTTTTATTTCTTCTAGTCCATATCAACTCGTAATCAAAATGAATATAAAACGCTATAATGTATTATCATTTTAGATTTCTTGCATTGTCTTGAAGACCTTTTTAAACAACGTGGAAACTAGATATATAGAGTACGGGAGAAAAATTGATTGTTTTATAATGGATCGGTTGATGTTGAAATATGTTCAAAATTTCTTTTACTTATTTACTTAGATCGAACTTGATCACTAAATTACTTGATAGTCCTCATTTAGATCTATGAAGGAATTCAGTATATATAAGATTAACATTAAACAAATACAAATAATTTGGAATAGTTTATTAAAGAAATGTTATTATATAGTAGTTAGTAAGAAGTTTGGTAAAACTAAAGATATTTCAAGTAAACAATTTTCACTGTTACAATTTATCTCATATACAAAATCATAATGAGAATCTATGTGTTTTCAAGTTTATAATTTGAAAAAATCTCATATACACATAATTTCTAATCCATTTTAGTATCCATATAGACATACTGAATTTGTATTTTATCAAACAATGAAACTTGTCAGAACTTGTTTATAATTCACAATAAAAGTTCACTTTTATTATTGTTATAACGCTCGGTTTTACTTCGTCTAATGCTATAACGGTTGAGTTTCCATGTTTACACGTATGGGACGTTAATTTACCTTAAACGGTTATCTACACTAGATTTCCTCCCAGTGTCTATTCTACAGGACTTCAACACAACTCAGATCAAAAACACGTGATTAGCCTAACCACAATGTAAATATATTTCAACGCCAAAAGCCCGACACAATCCAACAACAATGAACAATCAATCAATAATAATTATAAGGATAGGGAATATATAACTCATCTGACACCAGTCAGACTATCTACATGTCTGACTAAGCAGACAACCAATGATTATCATTCTTGTCCACACATCAATTATTTAGCTTTTTAATAAACCATTTTAAACTTGAATTTTTGGTAGACAGAAATGTACTAAATATACAATTTTGCTTGTCAATAGTATGGTCCACGTTATTTATGGTTTAAAGAATGTTCTGTTCAGTTTTAGTCTTTTTTTAGTTGAGTAATATAGTCCAAAATGTTTTACCAAATTTTACTAGACAGTATATGGGGTGTGAATGAAGACTGAGGGTTTTCTGTCAATGTTTTCAATATTCAATGAGCGTATCATATCCATTGTGTTCTGTCATTTTTTTCCCTAAACCACATAAAGAGAGAATGCATAAATTACACTAAATATTTTATTTCAAGCCCTAACTTTGGCTATATATGTATTTTTTTCATCCGGTATATCAAGTCACGCTATATTGGACATCCTTTTAACGGATAGTTTCCGATAACTTTAGATGAAATAGATATGAGTTAAATGAGGTGCAAATTAATAATATACAAGGTAATAAGAAACTCAAAGCAGGTAATAACAGTCAATAAGTGTAAAAATGTATGAAATAGTAGTATTTTGAAGATATAGACAGACAAATAATAAATGTAAATCAATCATCTAAAGCAAATTCCGGTCACTTCCTTTCGGTCAAACAAAAACTTTTTCATGCACTCTATATCAAAACTTGGGATTTCTCTGTACATATTCAACTAATAATTTAATAAATTAATGAGCTGATTTAACTGTCCTAGAAATTTCACAAAAGACTATAAGCGGTAGATGAACTTTTGTGATACACATTTAAACCATCTTCATTGATGCAGCCTCAAAAACTTATCACATAGGCTACGTAATTCTGATGATGAGAAATAGTCCGTTCACATTGATCGATCTCAATAGGATTTTTTATGACTGTTTTTTTCTCTTCAGAAATCGTATAACAGTTCAGTCTACATATTCATACATGGATGATTAAATGAAATTCTGTTTCAGGAATATTGTTTCATGAGGAAAGAAGAAAAAAAAACGACTTCCGTAAGATTAATACAATAAAAATCACTAAAATAAAATACAAAGTTCAAAAATAACAATTAGTGATTGTTTATTTCAGTTTAAATAATGAATAAGCAACAGTCACACACTTAACAAAATCAAGTTTCTATCTTGACTAACTTCATTATACTAAGTGTTATATTCATAAGATACAATTTTGAAAGAGAAGATATACACAGTAATTGTATAGGTCAATATTTTATACGCTATGATCCATATTAGTGTGATAATCAATAAATAGTGTTATTTATGGTAGAGTTCAAAACTACAATCCACTAGATAAAAGACAAATTCATGTATCATTAAACTTGAAACTCAAAGTGTATACACATTTACATAATAACTTGACATAAAACTAATTATTTTAAGTCATTCTTGTGTTGATAATTCAAAGAATCCCATAACAAATCTGATCTTGTTCTTTTGTATAATTTCGATCAATCGTCTTAGGGTCAATAAGGAAAATTATAAACAATAAAAGAAATAAAAAAAATAGATATATAAGAATCTTATTTGAACTTACATAATTCCAAATATTGTATTCAATAATAATCCATCAGTTAATTGTTCTGGTAATATATCATTCGATGACTGATTAAATAATTGTGCCCATAAAAGTAAATCCGATTTCATGATTAAAACAAAAAATCAATAAAGTGTAGAGTGAAAAAATTTTTGTTGTTGTTGGTGTTGTTTAAAATTCCGTTAGATAAATTTCTGTAATACCCTATAATTTAGAAGAGAAAAAAAAATAGAAAAGAAACACAAAATGTGAATAAACAAAATTCTTTTGAAATATAATACGATATTTAAAGGATTATTCGAAGAACTAAGGTATAAACAGATAGAATTGTTAAATTTTTTTTATTGAAACCATGAACCGATTGATGTTAGACCACCGTTGGAAACCTGGAAGCACTGGACGGCCGTTTCGACCAGTGGAGTTAATCCGTGTCGGGTAGGGACAAGTATCTACCTTAGTACAATGGAAGATGGTTGCGCAATTTCGTGAATTGGTTGATGTTAGACACTAAAACCATTGAATACCGGCTCATCAGTCCAGTAGGCTAAGCGTTCGCGCGCGAGACTGAAAGCCCTGGATTCGAATTCCGTGAGCGGGATCGTGGATGCGCACTGCTGAGAAGTCCCGCAACAAAACGAAACGGCCGTCCAGTGCTTCCAGGTTTCCAACGGTGGTCTAACATCAATCGGTTCATGATCTCAATCAAAAACTTATTAATCTCCACAACCCCTACACTGAGGATTGTTAAACTTTGTATTCAACCAATAAAATTTCTGCAACTTTCCTGGTAAATGAAATTTTGTAGAATTAACTTTCAAAGCATGAACAAATGACTATCTATTACTATATGATTTATAATAATTTTTTCCACATATGATAAAAACTCAAAGTGAAAACTAATTTCATTTTAAGCAGAGGTGGATAGTAGTTAACAGCATAATCCAGAATGTGCGTCTTATCACAATAGAGGCTTGGATGTATTCGCATCCCAGTGTTGCTGTTCACACTCAAACTCGAATCTATTGCTTTCGCTTTAAACGCTTAATGTGTTATCCATTAGGCTAGTAAGTTCAAATAGCCACTGTCTAATCAATTAAAGTTCATAACACCAATGGGAAGATTTGAATAACCAATATAAACGAATTAAAACTAATCTATTTTAATAATCTTCAGAAAATTTGTATCTTGACAATAACCATGGTACTCTGAAGTCTAAATGATATATATATATATATATATATATATCGTTGCCGGATAATGACTGTGGTTTATCATAATAAATCAACTGAAGGTGGAGATTTGCACAATTAGATTCAAAATTAAAGGTAACTACAGTACTATTCTTGATGACCTACAGCTTCTAGGTCTTACCCGGTTAAGGATAATCGGTGTATACATTTAGGAGTCGCAGAGTGGAATATAAAAACCGTCCAAAGTTTACAAATTTTTAGTGTGGAGCTCTGGCATATATGTGTATATTTATTTACGTCATGGATTATACAAATTTTATATTAATTATTTGAAATGAGAAAAAAGACCTGTAGAAAGGACTTGTTGATCTCTAAGAGATGATATGGTAGATTTCAAGCCAGATATTTCAGTAATTTACCAGACATATAATGGATTTAAAAAATAAAATAGAATAATTTTCTTACGATTTGAGGATCACGTCAATGAACTAAATACTGATTCAATAATCTCAGGGAATCAATCACTTGGTAAGTATTTATCCCATTATTTTATCAGTTGGATATGGAGTCAAAACACAGTGCCATTTAGTAAAATTGGAGTTTTAAATAGAAATACTCATTCATTCAATTCATTATTTTCTCAACAAGAAATTGAAGAAAAAAATTGTTTAAAAAGCGACTAGCAGTATTTTTTAAGACAAGCGTTATACATAATGATTACCATTACTATTCACTCAATAGTGGTGGCTTTGTTCAAGGTCATGTTTAGTATTTGACCTTACGAACCGAAATAAATCGAACAAAACAATTAAAACAAGATACAGAGGTGAAAAACAAAAGTTAGAAAGAACTATTAATATAAGGTGTGTAAGTTAAGTTTATGAAAAACAACCTAAAGAAAAAACTAGATATCAGTGAAGAAAATAATCACTCATAAGTAAAGTAAAAGAATATTCTTTTAAAGAATTTCTTAGCACTAATAGTGTATTTGAAAATAAAAGAAATCCTAGGTTGGGTTTCAAACAGAGAATTCCCAACAGCTCCTACTATTGATTCTACACGACGTCTAGTCTAGGATATGGAAATATAGTAGAAAGCACTTTATCATTAACATCATTATCAATTAACAACAGCCGAACACGAGTAGAAAAAGTCCAAGCACAAGCTGAGTACATAGAAGCAAACAAGCAAGTGAAGAAGAGCATTGAAGCCGATAAGCAGAAGTACGTGGAAGAACTAGCAAAGACGGCGGAGAAAGCTGTAAGAGAAGAAAATATGAAACGGCTCTACGATACAACGAAGAAACTAGCAGGGAAATATAGTAAGCCAGAGACCGGTCAAAGACAAAGAAGGGAAGCCAATCACCGAAATTCAACAACAGCGGAACAGATGGGTAGAGTACTTCGAGGAACTCCTGAATAAGCCAGCTCCAATGAATCCACCGGACATCGAAGTAGCACACATAGACCTTTCTATGGATGTCAATCCACCTATGACGGAGGAAATCAGAATGGCTATCAGACAAATCAAGAGCGGGAAAGCAGCAGGACCCGACAATATACCAGCTGAAGCACTGAAGTCAGACATCGAAGTAACTACAAACATGCCTCACCTCCTATTCAAGAAGATTTAGGAGGAGGAACAAGTGCCGATGGACTGGAAACAAGGACACTTCATCAAGATCCCAAAGAAAGGAGATCTGAGCAAATGTGAAAACTACAGAGGCATTACACTACTGTCAATACCAGGGAAAGTCTTTAACAGTGTTGCTGAACCGGATGAAAGACGCAGTAGACGCCCAACTTCGAGATCAACAAGCCAAATGATTGCCCAAGACAGGGTTGGGTGGCGAATGCTGGTGAGCGGCCTATGCTCCTTCACGAGGAGTAACAGGCGTAAGTAATTAAGTTACTTTATCATTCAGCAGCTAGCTTAGAAATCATTAGTTAATGATAATGGATCCGACTATTTTGTGATTAGCGAAAGACAAATGATTGGTTATTCGTGATTTTTAGTGAACGATTCTTTATTTGGTATTAGTTCTTGACAGAAACCGTTCAAATGTTTGATCTGAAATTGGAGTTACTATCAATGAAGTTATGATTTAAATGTTGGGTGCCAAATTTTCAAATCAGTGAACTAAAACTGTCCACTAAACTTAATAAACTTTGCTTTCATAAGTGAAATATCCTATCAGGTTGGAAATAGTTTTAGTATAAACTAACTGCTCAATCAGTAACATTAAGATACTTATAGCCCAATATTAATGAAATGTTAGATAAGTGTTAGCTTTGCTCACCTTTTTGTTAATCACTTATTTTTCTCTTGATCAAATCTATTTGCGGTCTGGTTTCTCATAAATGTTCACTAGAAATTTATGAATAGTGACCAATTTTTGATTTACTCAGTCATCAAACACTCATTCACTTGGACACACACACACACACAAATAAGAGCATACATTTCGGGAGGTGATTGATTTTTCTTTCTTGAAATGGATCAAATGAACAGAATGATCGTTGGTTTATTTAATCAACACCACTTTGTACTACGACAATAATGGTATGATTTATGATATTTACTTAAGTTGTACAGTCTTTAATATTTTGTAGTTTGATTGAAGTATTTCTAACAAATTTAATTTTCTTACAAAAATATTAAATACAGAATAGATATTCATAAATATATGATTGTTTCATCAAACGCCACTTATTGCATTCATATTTATTTCATTATGCAAATTTTCATGATAATTTGCATTTTTATAGCACTAGATAATGAAAAGTGGTGGGAAAAAAACAATAAATGTGCACTTACGATTATCTAAATTTTCCTTAACTTTCTGGAACATTATGGCTAATAACTTCGTTATCAACTCAGTGAATTAGATCATCTATATACACGCACATCGTAATGAATCAAATAAGTTGCAAAATAAAAATCATATACGAGATGATTTTGTGATAAAGTATATTGGAAAGGCAGAGATCTTACATTTCTATTACTATCTAGGAATGATCATTTAATTTATTCATAAATTGATACAATAGTGATAAACTCATTACATTACCGAAATTTATCAAAGGGACTAATTGTTTTAAAAGTCATAAACTCGGTGAATGTTATGTATATTTTGGGAATTTTTATTATATATGTAGTGTAGCGATATATCTTTCACAACAGTTAGAAGAGTATCAAACTTGTAGCCGAATGTGCGAATAAAAGGTTGATCTATTATACTGAGTTCCATTATAGGCTGGTAATGGCCACGGAATAAAACCACATACTAAAAGTTTAGGTTCGCTTGGAACCAAAACATCTCTCCATAAAACTTTCCTTTTAATGTCAATAATATATGTATCAAGTCAAGTAAATAGCAAAATGTACAAATAACTAAAATTCCACTAGCCTGAGAAATAATTCATGGGTCTGGCGTTTTATAGTAAATTACCTCGGTTTATCCCATGATAATTTGGGATTATTTGAGAAAGCAAAATGAACCAATTTTTTAAAAAGGTAAAATGGTCCTAATAAAAAAAAATTAAAATTTCGAACTGACTGTTTTATATTTTGGAGGATACCTGATCTCACGAATTTTGGGACAAATAATAGAACAAAAGTGTAGCTAAGTAACTACATATTTTTTCACAAACCATATTGTGATGACATTTATTATATAGAATACTGATTTTAAGTGTGAGAGGAATGTTCAGACCACCGACCAAGTTTTAAAATGTTAGACCTCTAAATTACTGAATTCCCGTTTCACACACAGCACTAAGAATACTTGCTAGCTCTAAGAAAACCTAATTCTTTAAATATAATACCATTTAACTTCTCGAAAAAACTGATTTGGGATTTCCTTATTTTTGAGCTCTATTTCTATAGCGTAGTTTAAATTTTTGTTTTGAAACTCCTTTAGAGAAAATTCGTAGTCAATGGTTGCCTTGTTATCTTTATGAAGTACTATTTAACTAACACCATACTTCGGTCTAAGGTAGAACAGATGTATTAGAAGGACGGAAATGGAAATAGCTTATTTACGTTTATGAAGTGTTTACCAACATTTTGTAATACAAAAAGGTACTTAAAACAAACATAAACATTAAAATGCAGTTTAAAGCAATTCTGGCTAAATGTAACTCATGTTCTCACTGTCCTTAATTTGTAAATATTTTAAGCATTGAGTTCTCCCAAATGCCCTAGTACGGCCGAGAGTGAAGAGAGTCCGCTCTCCCTTTCGAAATGCTCTCACATGGCCACGCGTATATGGCCTCTGCCAGGGAAGTCCTACTCACTGCCTTCTCGTGGCGGGGGTGTTGTTTACGAAAATGGGAGGACGAAAAGCGAATGTCCGGCGCTTTAACAGGATTCCAAACCAATGGCGCACATGGGCTCCAGTATTCTGCAGGAACAAATGGCGTACGAACCGATTGTTCGTCACCGGCTTCCATGGGACTGCATCTCCTTACGATGCTCCACTGCCTTGTGGATCAGACCTTCAGGTCGAAGGCTCGGGGAGTGGCTCCCTAAGAAAACCACCTGCTTTGGTTTTGACACCCGGGCAGTATCACAGCCCTCACACATATCGAACCAGATTTGTGTGGCGCATATGCATTTGGTGCCTCCTTGTACCAATATCTATGTGTTGAAATAAATAAATAAAGTAACAAATCAGTCCAGGTTTTCTTTGCATAATTTTTCGTGACTGCTAAGCTAGTTTCTGCTATCATCTTATTGTAAACCTTTTGAAAGGAAAACAACAAAATATGATCTAAGGAATTTAAAATTTCAATCTACAATGATACTTCAAGAATGCTGAAGAAATCTTGAAATTCTGATATGATTCTGAATAAAATAAAAGACACTTTTCTCAGAGTGATTCTGTATTCTCTTTAACGATGCAAATATATGAATTATTTGACGCTGAATCAACAATGCTACTATGGTTAGTCCACAGTAGTGACTAAATTTGCCCATCAAGTTTAGAATATAATAAATAGACTGGGTTACTAAACACCAACATGTACCAAGTTAACTGTTACTTAGAAGTAGGTTATAAATAAACTGTTTTTGAGCACTTTAGCACTTATCAAGGGATAACGATTCCACCAAAGAAACTTTTCTTATTTCTTATGCGTTTTGCCTGTAGTAAACAAAGGTCTTAGTTAGCGTGCAATATGAATAATGCTTTGAAGGAGAAGTCTCACTTTTATCATATTGACAATAAGTTTTAATTCCCAATTATCTTTTGGAGAATAAGTCGACTTGAAGAAACGTCTAAATGGTTAATTTTGTTATTCAATTTACTTCAAAAAAAGCGTAAAGAAAATTTATGTTAAATTTGGAGACAAGGAGTAGATTACAATAAATTGTGTTCTAGAATACTAAATTCAAGGTAGAAATGTTATAGAAATCCAAAAACCAGTTTAAAGGAGAAAAAGTATGCTTTTCTGCCTTGTAAGAATGGTGCAAATCTGGTGACATTTTAACTTGGAAACTAATTTACCCACAAGGAATATTCGCCTAGTGCTTTATGTCATGTGTAGAGATTATAGGTCTTCTGACCAGTGTCCCAAGTGAAAATCACTTGGAACACAAATCTAGTAATCTGAATGACACTAGTTTTTATCTCTGATGAATCTAGAAACAAAAAAATCAGATGCTATTACGAACAGGAATAAATGAATTCCTGAAAATACAAATGTCAAGTACTATAAGAACTAAGAAAGGCGAATTTGTAAGTGCGCTTGATTGAACTGAAATGAGTAGATAAGCAAGAAAAGAAACAAAATACTGTAAAGATACAGACCAAAATATATGAATTAAATTAAGCGTTTCCACCTAAAAATGATTTCAATCAATTCGTGCGTACGAAAGTGGTAGATAATATTTGTACACAGAATCTCCTGAAATGAGACTTTGAATCTGCCTTAAAGAGATACTTGATTGAAGGCCTGAGGTAAAAATAGTGGTGAATGGATCTTTCAACCCGAAATCAGTGACATGTTTCTCACTCTCGGACTGCCAATTATAAAGACTTCCACCAAAATGTATCGATGGTAACGAGATAGCAATTATAAATTGAGCTAAAATATAATTTGCGAAATTCAGCTGGGCCTTTTTCAGTTTTCCTGGTGAGACCATAATTTATGGATGACCTTTGAACGACGCTAGAAAGACTTTGAGAATGTCCACTACGGTCAAATCAGGTTTATAAACCAGTGTGAGGAATTGAGATTAACATTTACAGTTGATAGTTAGAGTTGGAAACTATATTTAAGGTTTTCATCATAAAATGATATAAGCTATAATGACAAGACTTAATTTAGCCAAATGGACGAATTATTATGCGCCAAAATTCAAGACCAGGTCTTGAATCTGATTGATTCGTCCGTAAATTATAGTCTCGCCGTTTTCTTTTCATAAAAAACAGATATAACGGAATCCCGATATCTAATACTATACAGCTAACGAATTTGACTCCCACAAAATTCTTGACAACCAATATAAACGTTTTACAAAGCACTTATTCGAAAATATGCTTCTCAAACCACACTAGAAAACCAGTACTGAAAAAGCATCGAACAAGCCTAAACATTTCTCCATTAGTTCGTATGAATTTTTGAAGTAATTGGATTTTTACCTTGTAAAAGTATGTTTCCTGCACAGATAGGTATGGAAGTATGCAGATATGCAACAAAAACTGTAGTAAAACCACACAATATTAGCACACAATCATAACAGAAACACGCTGTATTTGACGTAACATTTAACAAAGTATGAAAATAAGATGCTTTTTATCACAAGCAATGGAAATACCATAATAAAGTAACCGACAACCCACCAAAAAGCAACAAACAAATAAACGCGAAGGTTACAATAGAGTCGCCCTTGGTTAGCTAAAACAAATCACGTTTCGTGATAAACAGGTTACTATGAAATCACATTTTAATCGCTTTTACACGTGTTTGGTTACCTAATACATTATCAGTTAGTCCGCTCTTAATCCTTTTTTCAAACGAACTGTTACTTCTATCTTCAGCTGTTCTGTTGCCTAAACTTAACCACTTTCTGACGGAAAAAGGGTGGTCAGAACTGCATAGAAAGTGAAAGTAAAGCTGAAAGATTCTAAATACATACCTATTTTCTTACTCTGAGGTTTCTGTCATGTTATTTACTTAATTACGCCTTTCACTGTCAATGGAGCATAGGACGCCGACCAGCATTCTCCAACCCACTCTGTTCTTGGCCTTGCCTTCCAGTTCTATCCAATTTTTGTTCGTTTTTCTCATATGTGTCTCCATTTCTTGACATAATAAGTTCTTTGGTCTTCCTCTTTTCCTCTGGCCTTGAGGATAACATGTGAGGGATTGTCTTGTGACGCAGTTGAGTGCTTTCCTCAATGTGTCCTACCCACTTCCAGGGCTTCTTCCTGATTTCTTCCTCCACTGGGATGTGGTTTGTTCTCTCACATAGAAGGTTGTTGCTAGTAGTGTCTGACTAACGGATCCGAAGTATTTTACTTAGATAAGTGTTAATAAACACTTGTATTTTCTGGATGATGGTTTTCGTAGCTCTCCAGGTTTCCGCCACATACGGTAGAACTGTCTTGACATTTCATTATATGTGAAAATTATATTTGAAGTATTCTCAGTGACTGAAATTTAACTAATTCCAACGCTTCGTCCAGCTAACTTGACTGGTCTTCTTCAGGGTGATAATCAAAATCAAAATCATCAAAGAATTATATAGCTTCTTAACAATCAGAATTATACTGTGTTAAACCAGTCATATTTGGATGTTGATTTTTTTTGTAAAATAGGATAAAATGAGTCAGTTGACTACAAATCATGTGAAGAATACAACTACATGGAAATACTTAACTGAGTTACAAGTCGTATGTGAGTGTGTAGGTATGTATGTATGTATGTATGTGTGAGAGATTGATATGAAAGAATAAATAAAGTTCAAGGATGAAAAATCGATAATGAATCACCGATGTACATGTCAAAACACAAATTGTATTGTTAAAAAACTCATTGAATTCATTCAAAAATAATAACGATGGATGTAATATATAAAACGGGTTTAAACAAGAGATATGTTCCAAATTTACTTGTCAAACGAAATTTGCCAGGTAGTTGCCAGTTGAATACCATCATTTCGGTTCAGACTGTTCTTGTTCGCCCATATATGCAGCGCTTCTGCAGTCAATCATTTGTAGTGACTCACATTTATCACGAGAACACGACTGGTTTAATAAAAACAATTATTATTATAACCAACTGTACCAGTGTTTGTTTTAATGTGCTTTTGTTTAACTGTGCTAATTATAGCCATTTTGTGCTTCCATTACCTTCCATCATTGTTCCGCGGTTTTTGGTACTGTTCGCACGTACTCCTTTCTCCTGCTTCCGCTTGTACCCTTCGTTGGCACGATCTTGGTATTCGTTCAATACCACGAGGTCGCCAACCACATAAATCTGGTTCCGTTCAACCTTCGCCTTCTGATTAACTTGGCACGTGTTTCTTGGTAGCGGCGTTCATAGTAATTCTCGACTCGACACCACTCTACAATTGGTGACTCAAGTTCTGGAACACGCCTCAACCTCTGGTCAAATCTTCCAAAGAAGCCAATTCGGCGAGTCTATAGTTTATCTATCCACGTCTGCCGTATATTTTCATATTATCTTGTAATATTTAATATACACGACATGACGGATAGCGACAAGAATAGTATTAATGTTATAGACTCAGACGTACAGGCCATGCACTTTCGACCTGTATCATTCATTTCCCACGACCCAGAGGTTTGGTTTGCCGCTTTAGAGTCTCAGTTCGAGACTCGTCTCATTACGAGCCAAAGGCAAAAGTACGCCTTCGCTCTCGAATCACTACTCGGGGACCTATTAGTTGCTGTACGTGAGGTCATCTCCAATTCCAATGTGCCTAATGTTTATGATCGCCTCAAAGAGGCAATTCTCCGACATTCCCTCCCATCGCGGGAGGAACGATTGAGGACATTGTTAGCACGTCACCCCTGGGTGATGCTAAACCAAGCCACCACCTCACGCGCCTGCAATCTCTTGCTGGACCAACAGCATGTGACTCGGAAATAGTTAAGGAATTGTGGCTCGAGTCACTACCAGCTCATATCCAACCTACTGTGACGGCACTGCTCGAGGACTCACCGCTTAACCAGGTAGCCCTCATAGCAGACAAAATTTTAGCGGGGACTAGTAATAGAGACACCTATGTAGTTTCCTCAACGGCACGTCCTAAAGTAGACATGGACGCCGGTCATTCCTCAGCTCATGGCGACAGGGAAGGGTGTATTCACACACGTCTTAGCTTTCGAGACCGTTGTAACGTACCCCAACCCTACGTCCCCAGAGCTCGCTCAAGTTCTCGCAAAACCGTCACCACTCGCCAAAAAAGGGCCTCTTCCAAGCCACGCCGAAAGGCGGCCACGGAAGCTAGTGACAGTTGGCGCTGGTTCCACAGGTCCTTCGGGTCTGGCGCCCGCCGTTGTCGAGCACCATGCTCATACAAGGCGGGAAACGCCAGCGCCGTACTCGCCGGCCCTTCTCCCCAGGTTGGTCGCCTATTCCATGTGCACAATTACCGCACAAACGCTAGGTTCCTAGTAGACACTGGGGCCCAAGTCTCTGTCGTACCACGAGGTAGCATCAAGTCACAAGGGACAGTGCTTCGACTACGCGCTGCGAATGGCTCAGTCATTCCTACCTATGGTACACGACAACTCTTGGTCAACCTGGGCAACCGATGACGGTATCCGTGGACGTTCATCATTGCTGATTTTCCCACAGCCATACTAGGTATCGATTTCCTACCGCAATATGAATTGCTTGTCGATTCACGTAGGCTGCAGCTAATCGATACTTCGTCAAACAGCAAATTCATGGGTTGTAAAGCCCACATGAACGCGTACCGAATCCTCGGCACTTTTTACTCGCGTGACGATAAATTCCACGCTTTATTCGAGAAATTCCCCGTACTCACTAAACCACTCGAGGAGCTTCCATCGGTGACCAATCGTGTGGTACACCACATAGTCACCCGTGTCCCGCCAGTCATGGCAAGACCTCGTCGACTGGCACCAGACAAATTAGCTTTCGCTAAACGTGAGTTTGACAGTTTGCTAGCTACTGGTATTACTCGTTTCGTGTTAAACAGGTTACTATGAAATCACATTTTAATCGCTTTTACACGTGTTTGGTTACCTAATACATTATCAGTTAGTCCGCTCTTAATCCTTTTTTCAAACGAACTGTTACTTCTATCTTCAGCTGTTCTGTTGCCTAAACTTAACCACTTTCTGACGGAAAAAGGGTGGTCAGAACTGCATAGAAAGTGAAAGTAAAGCTGAAAGATTCTAAATACATACCTATTTTCTTACTCTGAGGTTTCTGTCATGTTATTTACTTAATTACGCCTTTCACTGTCAATGGAGCATAGGACGCCGACCAGCATTCTCCAACCCACTCTGTTCTTGGCCTTGCCTTCCAGTTCTATCCAATTTTTGTTCGTTTTTCTCATATGTGTCTCCATTTCTTGACATAATAAGTTCTTTGGTCTTCCTCTTTTCCTCTGGCCTTGAGGATAACATGTGAGGGATTGTCTTGTGACGCAGTTGAGTGCTTTCCTCAATGTGTCCTACCCACTTCCAGGGCTTCTTCCTGATTTCTTCCTCCACTGGGATGTGGTTTGTTCTCTCACATAGAAGGTTGTTGCTAGTAGTGTCTGACTAACGGATCCGAAGTATTTTACTTAGATAAGTGTTAATAAACACTTGTATTTTCTGGATGATGGTTTTCGTAGCTCTCCAGGTTTCCGCCACATACGGTAGAACTGTCTTGACATTTCATTATATGTGAAAATTATATTTGAAGTATTCTCAGTGACTGAAATTTAACTAATTCCAACGCTTCGTCCAGCTAACTTGACTGGTCTTCTTCAGGGTGATAATCAAAATCAAAATCATCAAAGAATTATATAGCTTCTTAACAATCAGAATTATACTGTGTTAAACCAGTCATATTTGGATGTTGATTTTTTTTGTAAAATAGGATAAAATGAGTCAGTTGACTACAAATCATGTGAAGAATACAACTACATGGAAATACTTAACTGAGTTACAAGTCGTATGTGAGTGTGTAGGTATGTATGTATGTATGTATGTGTGAGAGATTGATATGAAAGAATAAATAAAGTTCAAGGATGAAAAATCGATAATGAATCACCGATGTACATGTCAAAACACAAATTGTATTGTTAAAAAACTCATTGAATTCATTCAAAAATAATAACGATGGATGTAATATATAAAACGGGTTTAAACAAGAGATATGTTCCAAATTTACTTGTCAAACGAAATTTGCCAGGTAGTTGCCAGTTGAATACCATCATTTCGGTTCAGACTGTTCTTGTTCGCCCATATATGCAGCGCTTCTGCAGTCAATCATTTGTAGTGACTCACATTTATCACGAGAACACGACTGGTTTAATAAAAACAATTATTATTATAACCAACTGTACCAGTGTTTGTTTTAATGTGCTTTTGTTTAACTGTGCTAATTATAGCCATTTTGTGCTTCCATTACCTTCCATCATTGTTCCGCGGTTTTTGGTACTGTTCGCACGTACTCCTTTCTCCTGCTTCCGCTTGTACCCTTCGTTGGCACGATCTTGGTATTCGTTCAATACCACGAGGTCGCCAACCACATAAATCTGGTTCCGTTCAACCTTCGCCTTCTGATTAACTTGGCACGTGTTTCTTGGTAGCGGCGTTCATAGTAATTCTCGACTCGACACCACTCTACAATTGGTGACTCAAGTTCTGGAACACGCCTCAACCTCTGGTC